GCTAGTTGTCTTGTCAGCCCTGAAGTTGAAATTTTTTCCTCGTATCAAATGATCAGAAGCCTGATCATCATTGTCATTCCCAAACACCTCTCTCTCTCATGGTCTTCACGGCATCTTTGATTGTATAAGAACACATTATACATGGCACCAAGGAACAAATCTAAAATATAGTCTGTAGCATTTAAGATTAGCTGTTGGATTGCAAATCCATAGACTTGGCAACTTCTCAGCTAACTCACTTGTTAAAGCTATGCTTCTGAAATGGTGTTAGGTCCATGTGAAGGCTACAGGAAGACACACGGAGTCTTGGCTACGTAGCGTCATTTTGAGTCTCCCGGAAGTTGCAGACATACACTCACCCACATACACTCTTCCCCCTCTCCTGTGTTTTCCCTCAGTGCAAGGGCACCTTCCTGCCTGCCCACTGGACAGCCATCAAAACTCAGAGATATGAACTATTTTCACTATCTAAACCACAGGCCTGCCTCCCCAAAGGTGCCCTTTATGGTCAAGATCCAATCCTTCAACATGTACCTAGTCTTTGGGGGTCTCTCCCAGTCTTGGTCAGATCCTCATCTTCCAGTTCTTCAATCTTAACCTTTTCTTAAAAGTGTAGGCTGTTATCTTCAAAGCCTATTCCTGGGGGTTTGGTGTTGTCTTCTGGTCTAGGTACTTTTTAAGGCTTAGCACAAAATCAATGTTACCCTGAATACACTCTAACCAGGCAGATATCTGCCCATTAATCTGATAGATTAACCCTTTGATTCCTGGATAAGGTTCCATTTGCTAGGTTTCTCCATGCGAAAGTTAGTTAGTAGAGTAATAAACCAATACATAATTTATAAGTGCCTTATAGAAGAATATTTTGAGGCTACATAAGACCAACGAACTCCTGTTCTTCATAGCCATTATGCTTTGTGACATCACCATGAACACCACATCAGCAAACATGGAAGTACTGTTTCTAGAGGATACACAGGGTGGCTCTGTCACATGTGATCAACAGCTCATCTGCACGTGACCTCATTTTGTATTTAATCATTCACATGTAATGGCTGCTAGGTTCATTAAGTTTGAGGTTATGCCAAATGCCTGGAAGTCATGCCTGAGTACCCATGCCTGGGTACCCATACCTGAGTATGTATTTCCCCCTGAACTCATTCATCACAGCCCCCTGAAATTAGGGGCACCACGGGTGACTCCCTTGGCGGCTTCTTATTTTACCTTTTATGCTTTGGAGGTAAAGTCTTGCTGTATAGACAAGGCTGGCCCTCAACTAGTAGGTTCTTGTGTCTTAGCCTTCTAAGTACTGGAGGCATAAAAGTATGATATTAAGGACCTTTTAAATAAACAACAACAACAAAAAAAAAACATAACGAGAAAAAAAAAAACTGTGACAAACTATTATGGCAAAGACCCATCTTCAGCAATCAGAGCTGAACACGTTTTCCACCTGTGCCAGGAAAGGGAAGTGTGGATGACTTGAGCTTTTGCTGTCTTGGGTGTGGTTGTGAAAGTGCAACAAGTATTAATTTTAGGCTTACGAGTAGATTTTAGCAAGGAGCTAAGTTGGCCAGCACAATACACAAATGGGATGTACACTGTTCCCGCTGGATTTTCGCATACTTCTTTTAGCATCCATCGAGCAAGAAAAAAAAAAAAATCAATGTCCAAAGTGATTCTCTTTGTCAATAAGATCTTCGGTGCTCATCTTGTGGTTTCTGTCTTCCAAACTCTGAAGTCTGACATGTCTCTGTTCCTTTTAGTAGAAAGTAACTTTTAAAAGCCGAGAACTTCATGGTGAGTGGGCTCACTCCTCCTGGGGCATTTTCATGTCAAAGTCCTGTTTGTGAGAGTACGAGGACACACCCAGACACATGCATGTGTGTACGCATCTATCTGCTGCCTGTCAGCCAACCTGTTAGGTCTTTGGTCTGCCAATCAAATCTGCCAGTCAATCTGTTCTATCGTACCGTGTCATGGGGCACTTCATATTCTATCAGTTATCTATCATCTAGGTATCATATCTATTTACCCATCCATTTATTACCATCTGATGTATTTATCACTTCTCTACGCACCTGCTCCTCTAATTGGTTTATCCGAGCACTTTCTAGGATCTATCTGGTTCTTTCCACACTCCTTTTCCGGCAGTTAGTGATCTTTGATTTCCATCACTCTTCATTATAGTTATTAACTCAGTTTCAACATGTAAACACCAGCCTAAGATATGGTCCTACATCCTTTGGCTTTTTCAGGACATTTGGGCAGAAAACCAAGCCCCAGTCAATGGATATGGAGGGTGAAAGGAAGAGTTATTGGAAGTCTGAACTTTGCTGATTCTTCTTAAATAACAACTGACTTTGGTTTTATTTATTTAGATTTAGTTATCTAATATATTTTTAATAGATGAGCGAACATTCATGTATATGTACACACACACACACACACACACACACACACACACACACACACACACTCTTACCCTTGAAGCTAAAAGACCATTTTATCAAGTTGAATGTCTCTAAAGGGAAGCCAGTATAGGAGCTGGAGGGACGGCTCAGCAGGCTACAAGCATATACAGCTCTTGCAGAGGACCAGCCTTCAGTTCCCAGAACCTGTGCAAGCAAGTGTCTGAAACTCCGGCTCCAGGGCATCTTGATTCCTCTGGTCTCTGAGGGCACCTGTATGCACGTGCCAATGCCTACACATAGACATACACAGTGCACACAATTAACAACAAACATGTCAGGAAACAAAACAACAATTTGAGGTGATGCATATGATTTAAAATATTTGTGATACAAGTGTTATCATCTTGTGTTTTAAGCCTTTCTTCTCCCCCCCCAGATGTTTTAGATTTAATCTTTTGCCAGCTAAACTTAACTAGAATCTTTGAATGTTGATAAACTTAATTTATCAACCTAGAAATTTCGGATATGATGGTTTTAATTTAAGGTTTATAGGATAAAATATGAAATGGTTTATCTTTGTTAAAGGTCAAGTCTGCGTATTAGCTTTCCCCTTAAAATCTTAAACCTTATAAGAATAGAAAGACCCAGAACATTACATTTCACTATATTTTGAAATGATATTAGCGAATACTCTCTTAGATTCTGGTTAGTGGGAGGTTATGAATTATAGTGTCAATAAAAATTGGCTAATCCTCCATTACTATTGTGATGTAAGAGATAAGTGTTTTCTAAGATGATCTTTTCCACGGAGGCACAACGATTATACAAGTATGCGTCCACTCATTCTGTAAAAACAAAAAATGTAGAAATTTATAGGTTTCCATTTACCCCCCTTTCGACTTAGTCACAGCCCTTAGGTATTTGGTATTAATGTATTAAGAAGTCCTCATTTGATCTTCTACAAATACATTCTTTTGGCTGTTTTATTTTTACTCAAATATGGCTATATGACTATATTTATGTGTGTTTCCATAGCTTGCTTTACTTACCAGTATTACTTTTTAAAATTCTTTTGTGCTAGCACATACATCTGTTTCATTGTTAATGACCACTTCATATTCAATTATATGGCTATACCATATAATTGTTTAAGCATTTCTCATTGATGGTCATTTAGCCATCCCACATTCTTAGATTATAAATGATGTATCTGTAGCACATTCTATGAAGTAAGTACCTACACCTAAAGATGAGATCTTCCTCCTCAAGAGGCTGCCCAGAAGGCATGGAGTATCATCTCTGGGTCCTCTGTCCCCTTAGGATGCCGTGGCCTTTTGTTCTTCAATCCAAAGTACCGGGGAGTGCCTGACCCAATGTGATGCCATTGCTTTAGCTGTGAATATTTCCTGTTTTATAAACAAGGCCAAAAGAGCAGATGTCCACAACCATCCTGATGCTCTGCTTTGGGCATCTGCAGTGTGGGACCAATGGCATGATGACTCTGAAATGAATCTTAGGCGTAAGAGATGGCTCAAAGAGTGCTTGCTGCATTTCCTGAGTTCAGTTCCCTGCTCTCATTTTGGGTGCTTCACAACAACCAATAACTCTAGCTCCAGGGGATCTATTAACCTCTTCCTGCTTCCCAGAGTACCCATACACACCTATTCATACACGAGCTCTCTCTCTCACACACACAAACACAGTAAATATATATTGGATTAAAAAAAGAGAAATGCACCATTTCAGGATAGTGGTAGCTGGGTGAACTGGAAAGTATAATATAGGATTAATTCACAAGTATTTTGCATATTAAACAGCTTTCAGGATCTAAAAACATGTTTTAATTAGTGAAAAAACAAATAATTCATTTTAAACATTTTTTAAAAAGTAGGAGTCATAGATAGGCTGGATACTGTTTATGAAGACATTTGTGCCTGGGTACGATTTTATATGCCTTTTCATTCATTATTTTGGTTGAGAATTAAGAAACCCAACTCTTCGAACAGAGCTGGTTTCAAGCGTCATCAGAAGCAGGGTGATGGTGGCACACTCCTTTAATCCCAGCGCTTGGCAGGCAGAGGCAGACATACCTCTGAGTTTCACTCAAGCCTGTTCTACATAGTGAGATCCAGGACAGCCAGGGCTATACCAAGAAACTCTGTCTCGAAGCCCCCCTCCTCAAAAAACAAACAAACAAACAAACAAACAAACAAACAAAAAACTGTCATCAGACCTTTCTGTTTTTACTCTATTGTGGCGAACGTTGCCGAGATTATTTTCAGTTCGTTAAAAAACAAAATCAAGGGGCTGGAGAGATGGCTCAGAGGTTAAGAGCTCTGGCTGCTCTTCCAGAGTTCAATTCCCAGCACCCACAGGGTGGCTCCCCACCATCTAAAGTGAGATCTGGTGCCCTCTCTGGCAGGCAGGCAGGCAGGCAGGCAGAACACTGTATACATTAAACAAACAAACAAACAAACAAATAAATAAATCTTAAAAGAGAAAAAAGAAAAAAAAAAAGCTCAGTTTTTTTTCTGTTTCCCATCCATTGTTTATAACATGCATGTGTCATTTTTGTCGTTTTTGTAGACCTACCGAGAGCAGCTGTCAGGATCTTAAGCAACATGACATTCCTTTTTGTGAGTTTGTCGTACACAGCCGAGAGTGCCATTGTCACTGCTTTCATTACCTTCATCCCCAAGTTCATCGAGTCACAGTTTGGTATCCCAGCTTCCAATGCCAGCATCTACACTGGTAAGGCACTGCCGCTAGGGCGACGTGGCAACACGGTCCTAGACTCGGCGGAGTGAGTGGTGGGGAAGCCCGGTGCGTGGGCGCGGTGCCGGCTCCTGCCGCCGCAGGGGATGTGACGGGATGCGCTTTCTTAGATTCTGATTGCAGTCGTGTGATGTCTTGGCTGACTGTGTTTTGGGGAGAGGAGGGTACTGCCTATGTGTGCGTTTTTTGTGATAGGCGACGAGATTCGAGTTTAAACGTGTGTGGATCTTCTCGTGGGTTAACGCGGATCGTAAAAACGTTCAGGTATCGGGGTTTTCCGTCCCGGAACCTGCGTAGATCCCACGCACGACGTTTAAAGGGACGTCTTCTGAACGTCGGCTTCGATGATGTGTGTCTAGTCAAGCTGACTCTTTACGTCTCCGATACGTGTAGGGGACTAGCCCTCAAGCCTCCTCTGATGGTAAATACGATACCCAGGAACGTGGGGAAATCGATTCTCAGATATTGGGGGGCGCGATTTATGGTGTTACGTGATACTCTAAATACTTCCTTTGTAGTAGTAAAGGCGGCCAATGACTCCACCTGCGGAGAGTTCAATTTATCAACAAAGGATAAGTCAATATTTTGCATAATATTAAGTTTTCACACAGCGTGGTTTCCTTCTTATTCCTACATATAAACCCAGCAGGCTTGGATTATCTAAAAATAAACGGAAAAAAAAAAACAAAAACAAAAACAAGACAAAACACCAAACCTGTACCCCGTAAAAAGAGAAGTTGATTTGAAATGTCTGTTAGCTTGTCTGGCAATCACTCTGTTTGCCTCATATTGTATAGAGAAGGGCGTGTAAACTGGTTGTGTGTCCCGCGGTTGTAGATTGTTTGCTAAGTAACACATGGCTGTGGGCCTCTGTACCTTGTGAGTTAAAATGTGTTTTTGCCCTCTTTGCCTTCAAAAATGCTTTCCTCTCTTGCTGTAACATCCCCAGATCACATTTCAGCTCGGCTCACAGAAAATCAAAGGCCCCTGTTCCTACATTAATTCTCACGCTGGCCTTTGTTGAACGGTGAGTCCTGGGGCAGGGGAGTAATTGCTGCTGGGACTAGAGTCAAAGCTCAGGCAAACGGTCCCCAACCTCAGTTTTCATACAAAAAGGTGCGAATGGGAAGAAGGTTCATAGCCAAGTAGATGTAGTGCTTGCTGCGTTAAAACAAGCGCTACAGGGTTCTTCAGGGCAGCCCCTCTTTTCCAGTCACGGTTAGCGTGTCACCATGCTCTGTGAGACTCTGAGAGGGAGACCCAGAGGGGGTGTTTCTCCAGGCTTACTGGGCTACAAAACAGCCTTTTATTTACTCATCAGGGAAGGATGCCATTGTTACTTATTTAGTGTGCATGTATGTGTGTGTGTCTGAGAGAGACAGACAGACACTGTCTCAGTATTTCATTTAATTTCTTTTGAAAGTGAGCTTCCTGTGCAGACTAGGATGGCCTGGAACCTGTGAAGTTCTGGCCTCAGGGATCACATCTGTGTGAGCCATCACATTGTGCAGAAACCTATCTCTCCAGCTAACAGTTTTTCTTTGGCAAAATGTGGGGAATCAATCACATGTGTCCCTATCCTAGACAGGAGGGGAAGTACAGAACTGTGTGTGCCATTCCCCTCTACAGTTTTCACTCCCGGCCTCCGGGGTAGTTTGCAGCTGAAGAGAATTGAACACAGATAAATGCGGCCACCTCTTAAGTGCAGATAGAGGAGAGGCTAGCTAGACAATTTTTCTTTGAGAAAAAAGTGGAGGAAAAACATGAGTGGGATCTGGAGGGTTGTGGGTAGAGACCCCAGCTGTAGGGTCGAGACACTTGTCCAAATGAGGCTAGCTCATGAAGGCGGTTTACCATTCCCCGACGGTATAAATAACTCCAGGGTGAGAGAAGCCCCGTGACCAAGCACAGTTCCATTCTCGGTCAGTATCCGGCCGTTATCATCAGTGGTTCTTCCGTTTTAAAATCATGGTCAGTGCTTTTCACAGTGGTCACAGTCTCCTGCGCTTCCCAATGGCCCAAGAGTGCTTTCTCTTGACTATTGTCCTTTGACTCGTAGACAAAAAGTAAATTCAAGAATATTTCAGGACAGAAGTTACACTGAGACTAAAAGAATAATGTTTTCTTTAAAACTCCTTTTGGGATTTCTGCCTTGTCGTAAATCAGTTCTTCCCACCCTCTGGGCATAGATTTTAATTTTTTGAAGGACTTTGATGTTTTTGTTTTTGTTGTCATTTTGTTTTGCTTTGTTCTCCGAAGCCCTTTCTATACATGTAGAGTGAAGTGGAGACTCATGAAATTTTTCTAGGAAAAAAAAAAAAAAAAGATTTTTACAATACTGTTAATTTCTGACCTGACTTTTTTTTTTTTTAATTTAAGTTATCCTTTCATTGTTATTGATTGGTTGAACCCAGGGCACCATGTATGCTGGAATGTCCTCTATCACTGAGTCCTCCATCACCCTAGACTTATCCTTTATTTTTGGAAAAGTATTGGATAATTATCTCAACCCACAAAATTTCTTGTGTTGTGTCATAGGATCAAAAACTACCCCGCAAGTCTGTAAACACTGGCTCATTCATGTTGTCACTCCACACTGGCACTGGATGGGGCTCAGTGCCTTGGAGAGGACTGGAAAATATAAAGACCTGACCACGCCTACCATTGCTTATGACTGGCAGGAGAGACAAAACTTATGAAGTAAGTTAGGAAAGGCTGCTTAGGAGCTGATTTACAGAATGCTAGCTACAGGCAACAGTTAATATATGCTTAGATATTACTCAAAGGAGGTTTTATATGTTCTCATTACCAAAAGAACACTTTAGAACTATGGATATATTTTATTTAATAATTAAATAAATATATGTATATAGGCATATCACTTTGTACCCCATATAAAAATGTTTAATTAAATTTTATAACTAAAAATAGACCTCCCCCCCCAGGTTGCTTTGATAGAAGATTTAGGCTCCAGAGATCATTTTGGCTGGTAATGATGTTTGAGTGGCTTTCATGACAAAAACATCTATAACCAAGCTATGTATGTATGTATGTATATATCTATCATCTACCTATCTTCTATTTATCTATCATCTCTATCATCTATCTATATATCTATCCAACTATCATCTTTATCATCTATCATTTATCTGTTGATCATCTCTATCATCTATGTATTTACATATGTATGACTCTATCAATTTACCTATCATCTAATCTATCATCTATCTATCTATCTATCTATCTATCTATCTATCTATCTATCTATCTATCTAATAGTCAAATTGTCTATTTGGGGTTGGGAGAGAAGACTGAATAAAGCAGATTGATAGAGGGTAAGAGAGGGAAGAAGATAAGGCTGGTTCTAATGGGAAAAAATAAAGAAAAAAGTAAATGAGAGCAGTTCCTGGAAGGTGAGAAATAGAGGAGCCAGCCAGGCAGGCAGATATGAGCACACTTCCAGTCATGGGGGCCTGACGGTTTTCTCAGCGAGTGACAGCACTACTTTGCTTTACGATGGTCACTCTGGAGGACCCCTGTGTCCCGGTGGAGATGAGGATGTCAGTCCCTGATAAGGCTGTCATCACACAGTGAACTCTGACCCGCAGCAGTCCTGTGTGAATGTCTAACCAGTGGCAGGGCTGTTCCTCAGGACCCGCTTCCTGTGTGCTCAGTCTCCTTGCTAACCCAATCAGAGTCACACTGCCAACCCAATCAGAGTCACACTGCTTGGATAAAGTACTGTGAAGCTGACATTTTGGTGGGAAGAACCATGAAATACCAGTTGGACACTGTGACCTTTTACTAGTCTCTCCCCTTCTATTTTCACACCACAGGCACCTGCAGCTTCCTGGTCCCACCCTGAGAGCAATTCCTTCTCTCTCACGTTCTCCCTTCTAATTTCATACCTACACATGGCATTTCTTGCGCACAAAGTATGAGGCACTAGGTATTTTCCTATGACGGGCGTTGTTTAATGAATGTAATTAAAGCTTGTGCTGTAGGTGTTGTTAATTATGCCTATTTTTTTTTCCAAAGAAGGAAACAACATCTGGGAGGCTTAAATAACTTGCTTAAAGGCAAATAAATGCTGGAGTTGTATATTTCTTGGCCATCCCATTGCCTTAGCTGAAACAGTAGGAAAGGCACACGTTATGGTCATTGTGTTCACTCAGTTTTTCACTGTTCTGAAATGTCCTGATGGTGCTTTGCTTTTGTCCTGTTCTGCAGGAGTCCTCACTGCTGAGCTGGGTCAGTGGCATTTTTTTTCTCTGAAGCATTGTGACCTTTCTGTGTCACCTTTGCCTGTCATCCTACCCTTGGGTGTACATAGTGACAAAAAGTTAGACACAAATGTATGTTACAGTAACTCCAGAAAATTGTTTTGTCCCTCCAGTCTAGAATAATCAAATCCATTACCGTAGGAAGGGGATTAGGTCAGGATTTTGTTGTTGTTGTTTTAGCTTTGCTATACATCTTAGTTACTGATTTGTAGTAGCTAAAATAAGGCAGTACTCCAGAGCTTACACCGAAGCCTTTGACAATGGCCACATCTTAAACACAGGGCCAACTCGCACCTTCTTAGACTTGTGTCGCATTTGCAGCTCTCCTAAAGCTAGTTCTTTCATGTTACAAAGATAGCTAAACATTCAGTTTTGCAGTAATTTTATAAACATAGGCATATATTTTCTTTTGAGCATTGATGTTTTGTTTTAAATACAGAGTAAGGATGTTCCAGAATCCTTTCGCTTTCCAAGGTTAAGCTATGGCATTGACTCCAAGAGCCTTGCTGGTACTACATAGAAACCCGTACATCTAAGAGAGAAGGAAGGGGACCGGGCTTGCAAGACAGCTTGCAAGACAGCAAGACGGCTAGAGTCTGCTCACTAATCCCATGGGCTGTAGGAACTATAAAGGGCTCTTTGTCTTTGAGTAGAGAGACATTCATGACACCCAGAAATATTTATCTTTAGTGC